AAAGCCCAACAGGAAGCTCCACAGGTGCAGACGAAGCAGCGCGTCACGATGTCGAGCTCTTCTTTCAAAAACAAGATGAACACTTGCCAAAGTTCACGTTTGTGTTGTGCAGCTCATTCTGGGCGAGCTCGAGAGCGCCCCCTGGTGTATTTATTACAGTGACCTTTGACCCTTTGATGGGTTTATTGTAAACAGCGATGTAGCCACGGGACTGACTCTTTTTGTGTTTTACAGGAAACACTGGTGACCACTGTGAAGGAAGAGCCCAGGTGAGCCACGCACACATAGACACACACAGACACACACAGACACGCACAGACACACACAGACACACACAGACACACACACAGTGGGTTTGTGTGCACCACTAACTGTGCGTCTGTCCTGCAGCTGGTGGTCGAACATGCTGGTCCCCGCTCTGGTTGCAGTCATCGTCACGGTGATATACAACATGTACTCCTCTGAGTGATGTCATCACACACTGATGTGATGTCACCAGCAAGCACCGACGTCTGATTGACAGCCAATAGCAGTGAGAGGTTGCCATGGCTCCTCCTCCCAGCGTTGGGTGGCGTTTTTAGAGCAGACGAGCGGCGGCTGCGGACCACCTGACCAAATAGACACACCCCCGCAGAAGCGTCTGTTCTAGGATCACCAACTCTACGCCAGTAATGACCCTGTAATTCATTTCATCCTGATTAACCTATCAACCAATGACGTGGCATTATGTTAATGAAGTAATTTACATTGTTGAATTCACCGTGACAACGGGCGCCGCAGCGAATCCTCATCCTCTGAAATTGTGTAGAAATGCAGCGGGTGTATAATTTGTTAAACTTTTTATATGTTTGTAACCGAATGTAAATAAAAATTGAAACATGCAGTCATGTGACTGCGTCATGTGACGTCACAGCCGCCATGACACTCACCTGTTAAAGTGGACCTATTCTGCTCATTTCCACCATTTTTTTTCGTAGTCAAATAAAAAAAAAACGTGAACACATCCTCTATCTTAACACTGCCCCCTGGTGGTGAAAAATACCTTCAACTAGCTTTATTCTGATTGGCTGATTTGAACAACAGGTGGGTGGAGCTTCTGTTTCTTAGGTGACCGTATAAGTTCCTCTCTGTGACATCAGAGATACCCAAAAGTAGAATAAGTGTGGTAAACGGAGCCTTTGGAGCTCACTCACAGGCGTCATTATTAAAGCTTTTCCAGGACAGGAAGTATGACCCGGCGGACGAGGAGCAGGATGAGTCCACTTAACTGTTGTGTAGCTGGTGCGCAGGAACCAGAGTCCGGTCACAGCGTCCGTGTGCTTGTTTGAGACCACACACACTTGATCCAGAGAGCAAACGTGGAAGATTAAAAACATGATCTCCGAAAATGTTCCACAATTTGCCGTCCAATCGTAACGCCTCTCAGACTGCCTGAAGCGCCTGTACATAAAAGATGGACCCGGCCAACGTGTTGGCGTAAGAAAGAGCTGGTCGCTGTCAATCACAGAGTAGCCACACCCTAAATCATTTGACCCTGAATTGGGACAAAATCTAAACGACTAAAACCTGCGACTGAGACCATCAGGCAGATTTTACTGAGGTTAAAAAGAGAGACTGGCTGCTACACGCAGCCGACTCATTCAGACCGACGCACACGTCCATCTTCTACGTACAGTCTACACACAGTCGAGGTCAGATTTACTGCCATTTTTTATTTCGTGCTGCTGTGTTTGCAGGAAATTATCGAATAAAAACATTCAGACGTTGAGTTTGTCCAGCTGAGATTTATTCAAAGTGCCTTTGCGAGGCCAGATGATGAACACGAGGCCTTGTTTAAAGAAAAGCAGCAGCTGTGATGGATGTGACGGAGTCAAGGATCTCCAGACGAGCAGCAGCGTCCGTGGGATCGCGCAGCTTCTGCTCGTCCAGTCGTAGTCACGGCCGTTTGAGTCCTGATTTACAGAGACATGATCGGGTCATGTGACTGGCACTAAATGGCAGAAAAAACACCAGGATTCCCCAAAAGTTCTGTGTTTATCTGGACGTTGTGTTCAGTAGAGAAAAGTTTCATCATCATCCTCCAGCTCGTCGTCTGGAGCAAAAAACATCCAACTGTAAATCAGCAGAGGAGAAGCACGCAGTTATTGTCACACAAACATTGGACTCTCCGTCACCTCGTGGGCGACGGGTCACAGAAAGCCGTTCCAGCTCGGGGTGTTTCAGGTCTGCTGCTTTCGTGGTTTTCACTGAAGTTCAGAGAGCAGAGTCATCGCCGCACTCTTCTTCTCTACGATCCCATCCGTCTGCTTCTTCCTCGGCTTCCTCTTGTACAGGTACGTCTCCGGTCAGCGTCGGTGCTTCAGCTCGTGGATCACTCTCAGAAACAGGGCCCGCTGTGGTCTCAGCTGAAGCCGATTGACCGAGCGCAGCGACCTGGAAGGATGGGTGTGGCTCCAATCCTAACCTGGGAGTGTCAGACCTGTTCTCCATCATGGGAACAAACAAGCAGATGCTCGTTGGTCGTCTTACACCTGCTGTACTTGTTCATTAAATCGTGGTGGGAACACGTGAGCTGCGGTATCAGAAGGTCACACGAGGTCACAGGAAAGAGTTGTTTGAGGGTTTTTGTGGAATGTGGGAAACAGTGGATGCAGGATAATGGCTGCCTGGCAGCTTCTCAGAATGAGACGATCGAAACAGAAACATTTAAATGGTTTGGAGGGTGAACGTGTAGAAATACAGGCAAGGTCAGAAAACACAACTTTAAATCATTCTCAGTTATAAAAGGCTGCGGCTTTTATTTTGAAGTGTTGCTTCCTGTTGAAATGCTGGGATTCCTCTGGGCTGAAGCAGAGAGGTTGGAGCTCATCAGCGTTCAGAGATGGAGGCTGAGAGGAAGCAGCTGCACTGATAAACTGACAGCTCTGCAGCGCCACATGGAGGCCGTCACGCACTCGGGAACCTAAAAACAACACAAGAAGGACACGAGGAGATCATTTGGACAGAAACTAAATGTGTGCCATGAAAATAAAAACAGTTTATGGAAGTAAATGCGCCACAGAGGGAGGTGAAAAGGACAAATGCTGCCACCTAGAGGCGAAATAGACCAACTACAGGCTGCGCCGCTCAGAGGCTGCAGGTTTAAAGGTAAACGAGATGCTCATGAAACACACACACACACACACGTGCTGTAAAACAGAGGTGTCAAACATAAGGTCTGGGAGCAGGGAATGGCCTGGTAATGGCTCCAGTCTGGTCCACTGGAGGATGTGGAGGGGTGTTTACAGTTTTCTGTGCAGACGCTGACTTCATGTGCTCCAGACTCACTGAGGTGTAGAGAAAGCATCCAATGACAGAAACACGTGTCGGCTTGTACAGTGGAGCCAAAGTGAGGAAATGGCTACAGGACAGTCTGGCCAATCAGCTACCAGAACCTTGTATGTGACCAGGATATAAAATAACGCTATAAAACATGCTTGCTTTAAAAGTACGTGTCGTACGGCAGCTGAGGCGCAGCTGCTGCTGAGCGGCTTGTGTGGACGCTGCGGTGATGGAGGGTTGGGGACTTCCACTCACTGTGCTGCACCTTCATGTCTCCACTTTGCAGTGATACTGCTGACGGTTGGTTGTGGAAAATCTGGCAGTGAAGAAATTTCACAACCTGTTGCAACGAGGGCTTCCTGTTACGGCGTCGCACCCGGATCCGTGAGCTCTTTCAAAAATCATTTCACAAATCTGTGACAAAACAGCTGAAAGCAAAGCTTAATACTTGCTTCAGTCAGTGCGGCTGCACCTGCTGATTTCAGTTTGCAGACTCTGCTGCAGGAGCTACACAGCGACGTGCACGCCTCGCTCTACCATCACCAGACTGTGTGACATCATTTAGCATGTAGCTGCAGGCTCAGCTGTGACCTCTGTGATGAGCCTGAACCCCGGGCTCGTCCATACACCCCCACCCTCCAGCTGAAAGTACCTGCAGTTCCTCTAACATCCAGCAGAGGCTCAGCACTCAGTCAGCTCCCACAGACTCCACCTTAAACTTTTACAGCAGAAATAGAGACGTTTACAGCCTGATACAGAAAGCAGTCTGTGGCCTCTGTGATTGACAGGTGGCTGTAGCTGCTAGCTGCCTGCTAGCTTCACCTGAACTGGACCTCTGGGCCGTGTTTGTGCTATTGGAGCCTTTTTAATGACATCATGTGACCAATAACATGGCTGCTGTGAGGTTGCTGTAGCAACAGAGCGTCTGAGAGCTCCAGCTTTACTCTGAGAAACTCAAGGAGGTCATTGTAGTGCTCCTCAGCTCCTCTTTCATTCATGCTCACAGGTCCTGAGGTCAAACAACCATTGACTACAACAGGAGTATTTGTTCCTGCATCAGGTAACAAAGACCCAGCTTAAGCTTATAAATATCTTTTGCATAATTATTGCATAAATGTTGATATTTTACTGATTTTAAACTTTTAAAAAGTTCAGTAAGAGAAAAGAGAAGCAGTGATGAGCTCCTCACTGACATGCTGCTGTAGAAAATCCTCCCAGACTGGAGGCGGAGACAGGTTCTTCACCTCTGCCCAGCAACGTGAGAACGGTTCCCATAAAATGATAAAGAACTTGTTGTTCCTCTTATTAGAAGAACCCAGTACTGACCGCTGCTGGTGTTCAGGCAGCGCTGCTCTACAGTCGGACCTGGTTCTGTGGTTGATGGGCTCAGGAGGGAACCTCCTCTCTGCATCCACGCCACCACCCTCCAATCAGACCAATCCAGGCTGAAGAGGACACGGCATCACCACTGAAAACATCTGGAGCTTTAAAAACACCACAGAGGAAACATCTGGCTTCGAAGGCAGAGGACAGGCTCACTCCTCTCACACTCCTTCAACATGTCAGAATCTGCTTCCTGTTCAGCTCAGCATCGTTTTACAGTGCGGCGCGTGATGACGTCACCAGAAGCAGGCAAACAGCCAAGTGATTCAGTTACTTTTACTAAACATGAATCATGTGACAACGTTCAGGAATCTTTACTGTCCATCAGTGAGCAGTGTCCACGTCACAGTTAAAAAGAAAAGTTTAAACTTCTCTGCCAGGATTTCATTTTTCCTGCTGTGACATCTGAAACTTTGACGCGTCCTGACCTCAGGAACTGAGCACAGTGAGCCAGAGAGAGCAGGCCACCAGAGCTGAAGGTCAGAGACAGAAGCGAGGAAGGAGCTTTGCGACGAACGGACAGCTTTAAATACAGGGGTTTTACGCAGGATGGAGAGGTTTTACGCACGGCTCAGGGGACGTGGAAGGCGGCGCTGACAAAGGCCGGGCACTCAGCGGTACCTGACGGTGTAGTTCTGCCCCTCGTTGTTGTCCCAGAACTCCCCCTCCTCGCACTTCAGGTAAACGGCGAGGTGCACGGCGGAGCCGGGGTCTGCGAGGGGCGGGGTGTACACGGTGAAGGCGAAGCGCTCCCCCACCAAACCCGGCTCGACGGCAGCCACGGGCACCGCCTGCGCGTCCATGTGGGACAGCCAGCCGTTGAAGGTGTACCTCACTCCGACCTCCCTCCCGGTGGCGCAGCCGCTCAGGACCCGCACGTGCCCCCGCACGTCCAGCTGCGTCGCGACGAGCCGTTCCAGACAGACCCGGAGCCGCCGGACTCTCCGCTCCGTGTCCCGGAGCTCCGGGAGGTCCGCGTGCAAGCCGGCGGCGAAGTTGTGGCACAGGCCGCTCAGGAGGTCCCGCTGCTCCAGGGGGAAGCTCTTGTGCCGGGACAGGACCTTGCTGGGGATCTGCGGCTCTTCCAGGGAGCTGAAGTGCTTCACTCGGGCCAGGCTCAGCCCCATGGAGTCCGCGAACTTCACGCGCTTCCTGCCCTCCTCCGCTCCGTGGGCTCCTCCCGGGCAGGCCGGCAGGGACTTTGCTCTCCTCCCGTCCTTCAAGAACCTCTCCAGCTGAGACGCGTCCAGCTCGTCGTCCAGGTCTTCCTCCTCCTCCTGCTCCTCCATCCCTCTCTCCGTGGCACTTTCACGGGTCTGTGGAGGAGAGCTGTTGCCCGGGTGCCGAGGCTCGTATCCGGTAGGAGTCCTCGCGCTGGTCTTGTCTCCACCTGTCTTCAGACTCCCGCCCCCCGATGACAGCAGAGCGCGTGCGCTGTTCTCACATCAGCTGCTGTCACGTAAACACCTGCGTGCGCACAACAACAACAACAACAGAGCCACGCGCCGGTGTGACTGCGCGAGCTCAGTCAGACTCCATTATGTAACAGCTGCGTCACTCCTGGGGATAGTAAACAAACCGGTGACGCAGTCCTGCAGTCGGGAAAACGTGGGGGATTATGTCACAGCGCTAAATACACCTGTACTAGTGATGGGATTTCCGGATCTTTTTAGAGAACCGACTCTTTCGGCTCGACTCACTAAAAAGAGTCGGCTATTTCGGCTCCCAACCGGCTCTTCAGGTTGTTTTGTTGCTTTAATTAAGCAATTAAGCAAAAGTTCATTTACCTGTTACTACCACACACCATATCCGGTCATTGGTACTTGCTGGCTTGTGTAGCCATGAGGTAACAAAAGCTCAACACTGCCCCCTAGCATCCTGGAGCACTTCTGTTGTCTTTTGTACGTGTTTTGCGTTTTTACGTGCTTTGTCTCTAGGAGCCACCGTAAATATACTTTTATTTATTCACTCCACATAAAATGTAATAAATAAATCATATAATAAACCAACTAGTCACAGTTCAACTTTTAACTATTTACATTTTCAGGTTTTTCCTTTTAAACAAATTTAAAGTGAAACAACACAAAACACTGCAAACCACAACACAATTAAATATAAATTACAATATGAAAACAAAAAGAA